CCGTCCTGGCTCTCCATTACTCTCGGATCTCCAGAACCAGATTTTCACGAGCCCGCCGAAACCGTATCCATGACTTCCACTGCTGTTGCCATGACACCGTGACGATCCGCTGATGACAAGGAACAGATTACACCTAACAGTGTGCTGCCACATGCGACTGCACACAAGACACCTTTTCTATGTGCAACGATAAACAAATTATCAAAATGTGCAGCACATGAAATGTGTGAAAATGGCCATTGCTGTTCTCGCTCAACATACACTGGCACACATAGAGACATAGACCGCAATAGCGACACTGCACAAAGTGAAGAGTTGTTCGCAAGAAATCATTTGTCGCCTATCTCGCTGCGCTCGACCGGCGAGAAATACAACTTCTACAGGAAACCCACTGGTGATAAGGCTGGTTCTTGCTCGTCCTGCTTACTCTGGCGGTATGCCCTGGCGGCATATAGTAGCCAGGCTGTTGCGACAGTGACAGCCATTGCCCAGTCGCATTGAAGAGAAAAAAGCGGATAAACTTGACGGGGAAGCTGCCATCGACTATGTTTACAATGTATTCAATTTGAAAGTGATCGATTTGAGTTTGAGTCTAATGAAGGAGATTAAGGAGAAGTTGGAGAGGGAGATCGTGGAGCTGTCGGGAAGTCTGGCTATGATGGAGCTGAACACAGTTGCTAATTCCCAGCGGGCCTATTTGGAGTTTCTCTTCTAGGTCGTCTCTATGCTAAAACAGAGTGTCAAACAGAGGATTGTCATCCTCGTTGTTATTATTGCTATGATTTGGTTTACCCCACCGCTTTAGGAGCTGCATCTGCGCCTTCATCCTTGAAGGGTGGTGGCGTTCCTACGGATGCGGAAAACTCGGCCTCTATATAGAGCAACCGAGTCTGACGCGAACGGTGAATTTTTTTTAATATGGTTTACCTGTTCCGACAGGTCTGACGAGGCTCACAGAATCCCTCCCCGGTAATTCTCCTCAGTGTGGTTTGGTTTTGTTAGGTTCACAAGTTCATGTATGCACGCACTCTCTCACCAAAAACCTCCAACGACCATTCTCTTTCTCTGTCAGTGTTCTCGTGTCTTGGTTTTCGTGTGTGTGCTCTGTGTGCTGCTTTTCGCATTGCAGTTCAAGACATGACAGAGGACTCGCCGTTTCACCCGGGCCTGGTGGCGGCCGTGGGAATTGCGCTTCCGCCGGGTTCCCCGCCGTCGACTCCTCCGCCTCCGCTTGGCTGCTCGCATTTGAGTACCATCACCGAGGACTCGCCGATTCACCCGGGCCTGGTGGCGGCCGTGCGAATTCTGCTCCCGCCGGGTTCCCCGCCGTCGACTCCTTCGCCTCCGCCTCCGCTTGGCGACTCGGTCGCTGACCGTCTCCCACGACCGCCGCCACCGCCTGAATACAATTTCAACGGAACAGTGCACCCGCAATCGACAGCACTTCGAAAGCAAAGTTTTAGACCGAAGTATTTGATCAACTCAACGTTGGAGTTAAATCATGAGCACAGCTTGAACTGTAATTGCATACGACATGGCTGTACCATGACCATTGCCATATTAGTTTTGAAGGAGGCTTACGCGGGTCACGTAATTGGTTTATACACAGTTTCAGCAGAGGCATACTAGGATTTTGCCAACAAGATGGCCCAGTCAACAGAAGGCAATGCAGTAAGAGAACAAGCAGCCTGGATGGATAAAGACGATAATTATCCAGAGGAGATGGCGTTTTGGGTCTTCGACGATGAAGGTGGAATGATCAACATTTGGGATAAAGGACAAGCTTGGATGGAGGGAGATTTCAATTATCCAGAGCCTGTGGCATATTGGGACTGTCATATGCGCGACATTTATGTAAGAGGAGAAGCAGGATGGTTCCAGAGCCTGTGGCTTATTGGGCCTTCGATGATGAAGGTCAACTGATCGACATCAGGGTTAAAGGAAAAGCTTGAATGGAGGGAGATTTCAATTATCCACAGCCTGTGGCATGTTGGGGATATGACAATCAATGTCATATGCACGACATTTATGTAAGAGGACAAGCAGGCTGGGCGGTTCCAGAGCCTGTGGCTTATTGGGCCTTCGACGATGAAGGTCAAATGGTCAATATTTGGGGAAGTAAAGGAGTGTGTGGAATTATTCGATTGAATACCATTCTAATTGTTTTTCATTGAAGACGGCCTCCTTTACGGGTCAAGAAGCGCACAATCATCACCATGTGCTTTTCACTACACCTCCCACTCACCTCCCACTCACCTCCCACTCGCAACACATAAAGCCCTCGGCGACACCACGTGCAGCGATTGTTTTCCAAATTTGCACCTTGGAGGGGCATCATCTGGGATATTTCCGAACAAATTCCAGAGAATTGTAGAAAAAAATCATCGCCACGCCTCATTGTCCTGGTCCCGATCATTGCGTCCCTGTGTGACGGCAATTGTGATCGTGATAAGCGTCGGCTCATCGGCAACTAGCCGAGCGGTATGTGGGACGTGGTGTG